GCTCCCAACACCAATAAGGGTGCGCCGGCCCCTCAGCCCGTCAAGCGGGGCCAGAAGGTGGGCAGGGACCGGGTTTACCCGTGGGTCGAGCCCGGGTTTCTGTCAGGCGTCTGTGGCTGCCTGATGGTTTTAGACTCTTGGTGGTTTCAGGAGGATGGTGCTGGTCTGTCAGCGTTGAGCACGCTCTGCTTTCCTCGCTGAAACCGCTTTGCTGAAACCTCGGAAAGAGGTTCAGGAGGCCTGGAAGGAAAGTGTCTGTGGGGTCAGCGTCTAGGCGTTTGTCTGTGGGTGCAAAACTCTGCAAAATTCATTGTTTCTAAAGCTGTTGGTGTGTTTTCTTCTGCAGAGTAAAATGAAGAAGATGAAGGAGAAGTACAAGGACCAGGACGAGGAGGACCGGGAGCTGATCATGAAGCTGCTGGGGGTGAGTGAGAGGAGTTCTGCCTCCCCCTGTGGCGCGGTCGCTGGCTCTGACCACCTCTGTGCGTAACCACAGTCTGCAGGGTCAAACAAGGAGGAGAAAGGGAAAAAAGGGAAAAAGGGGAAGACAAAAGAAGAGCCAGCAAAGAAGCAACAGCAGAAACCCAAGGCTGGGCGTCGTGGTGCTGGAGGGGGCAAGGAGACGCTCCCAGCAGGAATCCTGCTGCACGAGTCGCAGGAGCCAGCCCTGGAGGAGCAGCAAGATGAGAAGGTGAGCAGCACGCTCGCCTCTCCCCTCCTGTCCACGCCTGCGTCCCTTCCCACCCGCTAGCGTGGCTCTCCTGGCGCTGCGTAGCTCTGTTCCACCAGGGAGGCTGAGCGGCTCTCGCTGGTTTTGGGGCGCTGGGGAGACCGCTGTGCCTAATGCCCTGACTCTGGGAGCCCGCTGGTTTCAAGAAGCAGCAAAAAAACCCTGCAGCGATCTGTGCGCACGCTGCGGTGCCAGCGCAGCCAGAACGAGGGCTCGGAGGAGTACCGAGCCTCGCCGGGCTGCCGAGGACCCAGCTCGGTCAATGCCTCCCACTCGGTGCAGCTGAAATGTGGCTGAGCGCTCGCCAGGTCTGTGGGTGTGAGTCAGGATCTCTGAATCACAGCCCCTCTCTCTCCTCCCAGCTCGGCGTGTGCCAGGCAAATTAGAGTTTGGAAAGAAATATTCCTCCCCTCACCCACACAAAAGTGCTCTCCTTACCTCTGCTTTAAAACAAGTTAAACTCTCCTTGCAGTGAGACCGTGGCTTTCTGTGCACTGCTGATAAAAGAATGTATTTTCTCCCGGGGCTGGGGGAGAAACAAGCAGTTGCGTGCTTGTTTCAGCTCTGATGTCTCCTTTGTTTGTGTGTACAGGAGGAGCAAGACCAGGATCAGGCGGGAGCCGAGGTAAATGCTCGTCTTTGGAACTCCGATAAGTGCTGCGGAGGCGGCTTCCCTCCTGCTGGAAGCCGGCGGCCCCCGCTGCCGCACGCAGCGCCCCGCGAGCAGAGCAGAGGCACAGGCTCCCAGCGAGCCCTCCGGCAGGCGCGGCTCTGCTGTCACCGCCCCCTTCTTGCCCATGACTGTTTGAACCCAGCTTTCTTGTGTTTTTTAAAAAAAAAAAACACCTTTTTTTCTTCTTCCCCTGCTCATCGGTCCACCCCCTGTACAAACCGGGGGCTGGCTCAGCTCAAGTTGGTCCCTTCCTTTGCCTCTGGAGGTCCCTGCGCCCCCCGTAACGGCGGCTCTGGGTGGAGCACGGCGCCATACGATGCAGGCCCCGTAGGTCCTTAGTTTCCAAGTTTATTTACATACAAATTTGCTTCCAAGTTTTCTGTAATAATTACTTAATTATTACTTATATATTAACTGGTTGAGTCTCCATCCCTGGAGGTATTTAAAGAACGGATAGATACGGTGCTTGAAGACATGGTTTAGTGATGGACTTGGCAGTGCTGGGGTAACGGTTGGACTCGATGATCTTAAGGGTCTTTTCCAACCTGAACGATTCTGTGATTCTATAATTACAGGCTGCGGGTGTTGCCCGAGGCTGGAAATAAGTAGATTTCTTCAAATTCTTGAGTGGAGGATAAGAGTTGTCTGGAGGGGGAAGCTTTTGGTGACCCTGTGAAGATGTAACTACGTTTGGGTCATTCAAAACTAAATCCGTCCTGTTTCCAGTGATGGGATTTTAGTAATCAAAGATGGCCAGTAGCGAATTGTGGCTTGGTAATTCAGTGCCAGCGAAGGGAGCAACAAAGCTCAGCTGAGACGTTTCGGTAACCCCGTCGTGCCACGCGGTACCGGCGGGATTGCGCTGCTGTAGCGCAGCTGGAAGGGGAGGCCCTTCGGCCTCTGCCCCCAGTGAAACCAGTAGCCCTCTGGTTTCACTAGCGAAAGCTCCTCTGCCCGTTCAGGAAGGCGAGGCATTGCTGGACTCCCTGACGGGCCAGCCGCACCCCGAGGATATTCTGCTCTTCGCTGTTCCCATCTGTGCTCCCTACACCGCCATGACGAACTATAAGGCGGCGCTCTCGGCGGGGAGGGCTTGGCGGCAGCCCGCGCTGGCCGAGGGGCCCCGCCTGTTACTGACAGACACCGTTTCTTTTGAAAGGTATAAAGTCAAGCTCACTCCAGGCACCCAGAAGAAGGGGAAAGGTACTGTATCAAAGCACTTGAACCCTTTTCAGTGCTCCGCCTGTTCAAGCCAGCACGTTTTTACAGGCTGTGTCAATCTTCCCTGTGTTTTTCCAGCTGCCAAGATTGCCTTGCATAATTTTATGCAATCCAAAGAAGCTAGCGCAAGAGAAAAAGACCTGTTCCGCAGCGTAAAGGTGACTGGTTTTTCTACCTAGTTTATCCTGTACAAACGTAACAGCAGCAGCCAAATGTCCGCTAGCGCCATTTTGGGGGTAAAGGCTTCCAAAGCCAAGTGTGGTGTTGCTTGGATTTTTAGCAGGCGGGGTGAAGGTGCCGTCTCTCTGCTCAGGCAGGCCCTGGCCCGCCCCGCGCAGGTTTCTTCTGCTCCTCTTCTGCCACTTCCTCCGTTTCCTTCTCAAATTGGCACCATCGGTCTGCGCGCTGCGGTGCCTGCTGCCGGGGAGAGGGCCGGCTCCTCGCCGCGCTCTTCTCCCGCGGCTCCGTCAGCCGTTTGCACCCCAGTCCCCGCGCTGCTCCCGCGCTGCCTCTCGTGCCCGGCCCTCCTCCGGTGCCCGTTTCTCATTTCCCGTCCGGTCAGGCAGCCCAGGCTGCTCCGCGGCAGCTGCTTGTCGGCCTGTGAGAGTTCACTGAGCAGAAACATCGCATCGCAGCAGAGTTGGCGTTGACTTTTTGTGGCACGCTGCTAGAAAAACACAATTCATGATTAATGACCTTGAAGCAAAGCGGGAACTCGGGGGCTTGCTGGCCCAGCCAGCCCACCTGAGCGGAGCTGCGCAGAAAACCATGAAGTCTTTCGTTAATAAAAGATGGCGCGAGAGCGGCAGCCTGCCGTCAGCCCTGTTTTCTCTGGGGGAACCAGCGGGCTGGGAAGCGCTAGCGGGGCGAGGAAGGTGTTCGTAAGCGCTTCGCTGCTGCGTTCAACGTCTCGTCTTTAATGTTTTGTAGGATACCGATTTGTCAAGAAATATTCCCGGGAAAGTGAAAGTGTCTGCACCTCATCTCCTGAACAGGAAAAAGAAGTGATTCCCTACTGGAGTTTCTCACCACCGAACTGTGCTGCTGCGCAGTCCGAACCCAGCACCCGCAGGTGGGACAGACAGACAGACCGACCCGCCCGGGCTGCCGTGCGTTTGACTGAATTTAGCTTCCCTGGTAGCTGGCAGACGAGGACCAGCGCCCGCGTCGTGGCTTGGACTCGAACAACTCGATACAAATAGCGTAAAGCTGTGCAAGTAAATTGCTGGCACTTGGGCAGCGATGCGATCTCGCGCTGTTCGTTCTCCGAGGCTTCGAAGGCTGGAGCCGAGCGCTCCTTCCCCGCGCCGCTGGGCAAAGGCGGGCTTGAATTTGCGGCAGCGCAGCGCTGTGGTGGTGTTTCTTCCCCAGACTTGCCGCTTTCCTCTGAAGGGGACCGGAGTTTCTAGTAAAAATAGGAGAGTTTCAGTGCAAAATGCTTCATTTGAGAACAGGCACCATTTCCTTTTCCGCAGATGTGCCCTGGGCCGGCGGGAGCCGGGCGGCGCGGTTCCAGCCGTAGCCCCGCTCCCACCCGCGCAGCCGCGCCGCGCTGTTATTGCCCCATGGGGCTGAGGAAGGGGCAGGGAAGAGGAGCCGGAGCTTGGCGGTCAGCACGAACCCAGAGACGTGAAACCGCAGCTCCCCGAGCGCTTGCCCAAGCCAGAGCTGGGGGTTACGAAAGAAACCGGCGCAGGAATTACGAGACAGGAATTAGTCTGTTCCAGAAGTCAAAGTTTTTAATTTTTTTTTTTTGTTTTGAGGACACCTAAACACGATTTCACCCCTTCCCCACAGCAGCAGAGCCTGTTCCTTGTTCCCCGATGTCACCTGCTGGCATCGCGGCGTCTCCCCGGTGCTGCAGGCCGCTCCAGCTGCAGGCGAGCTCTGCAGGTGACGGACACAGCTGGTACCGGGCTCCAGCGCTTGCCGTTACACCTCTCGGGGCAGAGCATCTGCTACCTAAGGCTCACCACTGAAGTTCCACAACATAGAGTTCCAAAAAAAACAAACTACAAACAGGCAGAGAGTAGCGGTGCTTTAACATCTGCAGGTTCACGACAGTTTCTCAGTTCTGACAACGGACAATTCCCCAGTCCCCTTTCTCTGCCCTTAAGCATTTGTGGCAAAACGTGAAGCCGTTCCCTAACGCTGCAGCCTAAACCAGGACTGCTCGCCCGTCACCGCAATCGTCAGCCTAGACTAAAGCAACGCTCCTGCAACAGCCCTGGCGCGCCTCCGTCGTTCCCGCACGGCCCCTGCAGCCCCCGGTCCCCCAGCAGGGGCTCCGTAACTATTTCCACATCGTCTCGCTCGGGGCTGGCCCTTCAAGGTGGACAAACCCAGAACTAGCTTTAGCACAGGATACAGCTCCACTTGCATTAAATACATTTATTGCAAACGTCTTTACACAAAAATAGGTTCTCTCTAGGCCATTCACATGCAACTTAAAGGCAAGAAGCACCTACCTACGACGATACAGATATTTAACCTATACAAGTTTAATGTTTGCCGCGCTTGGTAACGTTATTACATCTTCTTAGAGCTGCTCGTCCGTGCGCAGCCCGGTCAGAGGTGGCGGCAGCGGGCTCAGGAGCCCGAGGTGTTGTTGCTTCCAAAGCGCTGATTGACGCTGTGCAGCAAGTGCTTGGGGAGGCAGTTCCAAGAACTGGCCAGCATCTCCTTAAAGCAAATGACGGCTTCGAGGCAGAGCCTTGGGGAGAGGGAAACACGGCCCCGTTAGCACCGTCCTCGGCAAGCGCCGCAAGGCACGCGCGTTCCTCACTGCTATTTAGGGAGGGCTTGCTCTCGTCGATGGAGCCGAAGGCGTGCTTCTGAAAGGGCTCCTCTGTCCTCTCAGAACAGGCTGCCGTTCTGTCGGCATTCTTTAGGGGCAGACATGTTTTCAAGTATTTTAGGAACATAAGCAACGGGTCTGGCGGTAACCCTGCACTACCTGTCTTAGGTGGAGACGCGACAGTTTAATGTTGAAGTCTTGCTTTCTTACCTTACGAGAGATCTTGGTTGTAGCGAAAACACAAGTATTTCATTACTGTGAGCCTGGGGTGGGGAAGGAGAGAGAGAGAGAAGCAGTTTGGTTATGTGGATTCACATCATTGCAGCGGGAGCCAAAGCAGCCAAGGCTCGCGCAAAGGGAGCCTGGAAAGGAAAGCAAAGGCATGGCGCCGGGGGCTGGAGAGGCCGGCGGTGGGGAGTAGACTGGACTTAAAAAAGAATCACAAAGGCAGCAGACAAGCTGAATGCGGAGCTGCTCTCCAGATCTTACCACATGGGAAGTTATGGGCGCTGGGGGAACTATGGATGAATCAAAAGAACTATCTAGTGCCACTTCGTACAAAGAGCCGGAGGGGAACGGGCGCCCAAAGCGGCCGGGCTCCCATGCCCTCCCTGCGCAGCACCTCTTGCTGTCGGACGCGACTGGGCTGGCTGCAGCCCCGGGAGGCGCAAAGCTGCCGTCAGCACAAGTGTGGGGGCCCTGCTGGCCCCCCCGTGCTTGAGAGGAGAGAACGGGACCACCCCCCGCGGGCAGAGCTCCCAAGTCTGCAGGGGAGCTCCTGGCACGCATGTAACCGTGCTCTCTGCCAGGGCCGAGCCGCTGGCGCGTAAGGAAGTGTTGCCCCGCTCGTCTGCCGCTCGCCCGTTCCAGCTGACGCCCGCTGGTTCTCGCACTAGAAGGTGCTTGTTCCCGGTCTCCCTTCCCAGCCAGCTGGCGTTTTTACAACCTCGGCACACCCCCGTCCCGGCCGAAGAGCCCCGCTCTGTTCAGCCTGTTCTCAGCAGGCCTCCCTGCAGGCATCGCGGTGAAGGAATTACTCTGGGAGGGGCTCCCTGAAAACACCCCCGTGAGAAGCACAGGGCAAAGCTGAGGCAGTAGCTGGGAGATAAGAACAGGCTCCAAGCGCAAGACACGTGTGAGGGAAAGCAAGGCGTAGTTTAAATAATGACCAATGACCCGGTTTCCAGAAAAGCATCACAACATTTCCCCTTCGAGCTTGCTTTGTGCACCTTTGTCAGTCCTCACGAGATCACGCTGCCGACTACCAGCACCTCGCACTTGCTGAAGCGACAAGACGCCACGGCTCCCGCAGGAAGGGCCGGGCTGCACAGGGAAGGGCAAGCTCGAAATAAACTTACAGCTTTAGAATGGGCAAGTAAGTTGTTGGCACAGCCCCCGAAGACGATCACCTCTCCCTCTTCGCTTGCACAAGCGGTATGCCACAACCTAGAAACAGAAGGCAGCGCTGCATTAAACCAAAACCCCACCCTGCTCCGTAACGCACGTTGAGGAGTTGCATTTACAGTTAACACGTGCAAGTTTGCCCTTCCACCAGTACGCGGTAGACGTGACTGATTCAACAGGAGTTTGTGTTCAGAGAAAGAAACTGTGGGCTGCGTAAGGCGTCCTGGTTAGAGCGGGGCTGAGCGGCGGGCTGCCTGCGAGCGCAGGCACGTCTGAAACCCACAGTCCTGTCGCCTCCGGAGGACGGCCGGCACGATCAGCTCGCACAAACTTTATTTTCATGCCTCGCTTGAGTCAAAAGACTGACCGAACACAGTCAGTCAGATTTTGTATCGCTCTCCTAAGACCTGGGGAAACAACTGATCTCACACGTGCGTTCAGCACCAACACGTCACCGTCCTCTGCTCGAAACGGGGGAGAAGCGGGTGGGGGCAGCAGCTCAGCCCTGTTACTGCCCCGGGAAAACAGACGCAGGAGCGAGGCCAGAGGGGCAGGCCGGGAAGCATCGCGGCTTTAACTCATTTAACCTTGGAGCAGAACGCTTCCCCAGACAAGATGGATCACAATAATTCACGTGACGCGAGTGTTTTCAATGCCAAACACGTGCATCACAGTCGTTCTGATGCTTTTAAATTGCAGGTCATCATCTCTAATTTGCTTAGCAGGAAGACAAAAATATCCTGGGTGCGCACAGGATTAGCCACCAGCGAGGATGCTCAAACCAGTGACACCTGCCCGTGGCCAGTTTGCTGGCAGGGCAAGAACACACAGGTCCCAGTTAGCTCTTGTGCTGGCACTCGCGGCTCGGACACCTCTGCAGCCAGGGGATCAAACCCTAAATCCCCGTGTTTCCCGCTATTTCCCAAACGGTGAGCTACACGCCACCTCCAGCCCCGGTCCTACGCTGGTATGCATCTCGCGTTTTGTGTGCGCGCTCGCTACACCTGCGTTTCTGGGGCAAGAACACACAGGTCCCAGTTAGCTCTTGTGCTGGCACTCGCGGCTCGGACACCTCTGCAGCCAGGGGATCAAACCCTAAATCCCCGTGTTTCCCGCTATTTCCCAAACGGTGAGCTACACGCCACCTCCAGCCCCGGTCCTACGCTGGTATGCATCTCGCGTTTTGTGTGCGCGCTCGCTACACCTGCGTTTCTGGGGTAGAAGCTGGCATTTGTGTTGTTAAGAAAAGCGAGTGCTGTACAGAGGAACGCCTGTCCTCTCTCTGACAGCCAACGCGAAAAGCCTCCTCATTCTTTTTAATAACTTTCCTGGAAAGTGTCTACCGTACCTTGGTTTTTCGGAATAGTTATGCTCAAACTGTATCCACTCATTCTTGCTGATACAATAAATCCAAGCATCACCTGAAAACAAGCAAAACCCCAAATACAAACAGTACTCTGGTAGTTCTTCCATGTTTGCTGCAATAAACATGTACTCTGGTGTAACACGGTCCATTTTTGTTCTTAAATAAATCAAGTTTTTTAGGAAAACGCCTATGAAACTTTGGGCTGGCTATTTGAAAACAGCCCTTTAATAATGGTTTATGGGAGCGAAGTCAGAAGGGAAAGACGGAGAACTGTAAAGCTCTTACTAATTGCAGTTTGCATTAGGTACATTTTTAGAGCAGACTGATTTCTATAAATAACAGCGTCTCAATGCACTGGGTGACTCCTGCTCTGTGAAATTCGCTGTTGACTGTAAGGAGCTGGATCACAAGTGCATGGAAGGAATTCAGAAAGAATTTAAGGTGACTAGGCAATAATTCAAGCTTCCGTGCACAACTGTTTAGGAAGGCAAAGACAACACACCATCCCTCTGGAATGACTTACTTAGTGGCTGCTTGTCAGTGGTGAATCCTCCAAAGAGAAAGAGGTGGTCTGAGGAAATCGGCGTTAAAGAGTGCCACGATCGGCCAACGGGGCAAATGCCTTGCGCGATTCTGGATTTCAACAAAAGCACTGTAAATTACACATGTGCTACAATAAAATACTGCTGCTCTTCTCTGCTCTGATCATTTTTCAGGTATTTGAAGGATGCAGCTTCATACTGCGCAGAGCTCATGACCCAACGGCAAGTTTAATTTCTTTAGACACAGTAAAAGAATTTCACTCGTATCGATACTTAAAAAAGCCTGACAGCAGGAGTCAGCAACTGATCAGGAGGATTGGTTCTACCCGAGTTTACTTACTTGCTGGAGTTCACCAAGTTTCACTGGAACGATTAGAAGCGAATAAAACCGGCATCTTCACATTGCTTTACAAACAAAAGAACTCAAGTTTTAGTACCTACATTTCATTCCACTCCCACGTATCCAAATTCAGGTAGTAAAGATCGTTCATCCTGGACTCCTGCAATAAAGCAGACGGCGGCTGAAATACTCCGCTCGGGTTTCAGTAACACATCGTGCAACTGGGCTGGGGCTTACTCTGTATCGGCCACCAAACACGTAGCCTCTGTTCCCCACCGTGGCGCAGGCGTGAGCTGCTCGTGGTGACGGAGTTTTACCCTGGGAAAAGACAATGTGAAACAAGGAGGTAAGTTTATTTGATACAATAACAAAAGAGAGAAAAAGCCATTTCACCGGAAACCTGCAGAAGATCAAGTGAAGAGGAGGTGGGCTGAAGATGCCCATCACAGACAAGAAGCGGCGCAGCTACGGCCACACGGGGCACCCGGGGGGCGCGGTGCGACAGCGGACGCGGTGGGGCAGGGGCCGGGCTCCTCCCAGGTGAGCTCACCTGGACATCGCGCTCAAGGCAAAGCAAGGTCTGACCGTTCCACAGATCAGTCACCCGAGGAGGTGACAGGCAGAACTGAAGCCAGATTTAAGGCCAACAAGGCACAGAGAGTGAAAAATCATCCAGTAAGTCATTCTGTGTGCAGAAACTTGCTTTTCTGGGGGGATGGAAGCTCAGAAAACTCATTAAAAATGTTGTTTGGTTGTTTTTTTTCCCCTCTTTAAGTATCAAGGTATAAATTTTGCTTTTAGAGGAGGGTTCAGCCAGTCACAGAGGACCTCAGACTGTAAACGAGACAGTGACATAATAAATCATTAAACAGTATTTTTCTTGAGTGACTTCTGAAATATTTGAGATCTGTACGTAGTAAGACAAAGCAAGTCTTTGGTAATCTGCATAAGGAGTTACTTCTCTCAAATTTCCTTTCCTCCAATTGTGTGGCAATATCCCTCCACGTGCCTGTTCCTGAATACTTCTGGGACACTTCCAATGGCGTCTATTTGCAATTACGGAGTGTTTCGTTTCGTTTTGACCACAGTTCAGCACCCAAGTGAGATGTACCAAACCGTCACATTACAGCGAGGATGACAGGAATCCATACATTCCATTTTCCTGAGCTCCCCATGAGCACAATGCCACTGAAGCATGAAAGCAAGCAAGTCAACAGGAAACAAGATGACGGGAGAAAGACAGATCAAAATAAAAGGCAGGTTTCCTGTTTTTGGAGAGGAGCGAGGACCTAGGGAAATGAATGGTTTAAATTCAGTTTAAACGGCCTCAAGAATGCTACTGAATAGGCAGCAGGTAATTTTTATTTTGAAGGGGTGTTTCCAAGGCTAGTTCGACCAACAGTGTTTCAAACCCCTCTTACCAGTCCTTCTCCTCCAAGCACGTTGTAGGTAAGACTGCAAACACAACCTAGTGACACCTCACGGAGCCCATATACAGGAGAGAAACTAGCAGCCCCGCTTTGCTGGCACGAGAGCAAGGTACGGGGAATTACGACAGCTCGCTCAGGAAGCGCGAGAAGGGAAGAGAGCCCTGGTCAGAGAGCCCTAAGCTTTACCTCCTGGCCGGGTTTCCTCCCCTGGCTGGAGCAGACAGACTGCATGTCCCAGGAGGGAAGCCAGAAGAGCAGAAACCAGCAGTGCTGCAGACGCAGTCCTTCCCACCAGCCACAGCCAGGGCGAGCGGCCTGCGATTCATCCCGTGGCGAAAACAACTTCGCACTGAGACAAGATCAGCTCCAGACGGCCCATTTGTGGAGTCCCACTCTCAGGACCCTGCAAGGCATTTCTCACATAGAGCTAGCACTAGGGATTTCAAAGGGCTCTTCCATCTTTTCTGACTCCTGGCATTTAGGGACTGGTTTGTACCCCGAAGAAGGCAGGATCACAGAGCACCTGACAACCAAACACTCGGCAGTCAAAGACTGGTGACGTGTAATCGAGGCTGCAGGGTGGAGCGGGAAAGTAGAAAAATGTATTTTGGGTGAATTTCTGTGCTTCTTGCTTGCAGGCAGTGAATCACATCTTCTACAATAACGCCAGGGAGATACAGACTAGAGATAGGACCCCGCCATGAGATACAACCGGTTGAGACAGCGTCCCACTGCGAGGTAACCGAGTGCACAGCAGGCACCGCTGCTGGGACAGGCCGCTACCAACCCCGCGCAGCTACGCCAGGGGCCGGGTTATCAGCACCCTCTTTGAACCTGACGCAAATTAAAGCAGTGAGCCCAGGCCTAGCAGAGCCATGCTTATTTTTAAAGGATGCTACAAGAGATAAGGCACACAGCACACATATTGCTTAAGAGCTGTAACTTAATTAACGGACATAAGGCTAATAATTACCGTAGTTATAGGCTGGCTCCAAGTAAAAGTTTCAGTGTCCAGAACATGCACGTGGTCGTTCCACCCTCTAGGAAGACCTGAATTCTTTAAAAATATTAAATAAGCAACATTTTTTAATAAGCACTAATTAAATGTTAAATTTTAAATAGAAATTACTTCCAGGTTTACTTACCCAAAAAGAGGTTTCATCAAATTCAAAAGTTCCCCGTTGTTTCCCTTCAGGAAAATAACCATAGCCTCCAAAAAATATTAGCCTGAAACAAAACATGCATCAAGATCATTAGAAATGCTGGCACGTCTGTTGCTACAAATTAAACTTCTGTAAAGGCTGTGCTCAAACAGAAGGCAGGAAAACCAGGGAAGCTCCTTTGGCTTCATTACTTCCAATATGCCTACAATGCAAGTTTTCGGGGGGGGGGCCCTGTTTCTTGCCTAATCGACCCTACCACCCACATTAAACCCCTCTGTAGCCACTTCCCAGGCCTCCAAGCTTTGCTCTGGTTCCGAACGCGAGGCTCCCAGGCCTGCTGCCTGGTCGCTGCGCTTCAGCCTTTGCTATCAGAGCTCTCACACAGCGGCTACAGTTGTTTATCCCTGCAGTTTCCTGCCTCCACCCTTTCCATGCCCTCTGCCTGTTTTCCCTGACCCCGAAATGTTCACGAAACAAAGGGACAGCATTACAGCTTGGGCACGGTCACTGCGGAGCTGTGTGCCAGGCAAGGCAGGGCAGGAGGAGACCAAGGGACACGACCTGAAGAACAGTTATTATGAGCAGGCACTCATCTGGTTTTACTGTTCTTTTTGTTTTTAAAAATGTAATTTAAGTTTTACGTTTGGGTTTTAGCACATATTAGAAACTAATGGCATGGCTTTGCCAGAAATTTTTATTGAATTATGAAGTAACAGAAAACAATCTACACCGCCTAACTGAACACCCACAACTCCAGCCTTGCACAGAGGTATGTCTAAACTGATCACATCAAGCATCGTAACAGTAAGCTTTCTCTCCACGTCAAGGATCTGCAAACTAGCACCACGGGCAATCTCCTATCTTTTATGAGTCTCTGCAGCAAATCCCACAGCAAATCCCATACCAGTGAGCTTTGTCTCCACGTAACGGACAAAGCAGCACAGCCATCTCTAGCGTTACACACCAAGATCACCATACACGTTCAAACACAAGGACATACAGCATCCCTGATTTCCTCTGCCTCAGCAGAGCCAGAGGTGATACAGCCAAGGCCAGTTGTGCTGACAGGCAGAAGATGGCTGTGCTGTCCAGGTAGGGTTTCGTAGGTAGCAGCTTAAACGCCTACCCTGACACGACAGGACAGTAAGAACCTGTGACCCTTGCTGGTTGTCACCAAAGAACAACTAGAGGCCCCTGACCATCACCTCATATTCGCATCAGACCTCCTCGGCCCCTGGCATCACGTACCCCAGCAGCACTGCCCACGCCGGGCGCCTGGAGCCTGCGGAGAGAGCCCTGCTCTGTGGGGATCAGCCCTTCCAGCTTCTCCCGCAAGGGGACAATTCTGGCCATGTGAGCTGTCACCTGCGCCAGAGCATTTTGGAGTTCTGTCCTCTGGAAGCCAGGAACCCTCCGAGAAACCAGCCCTGGGTCGCGGCTCCAAGAAGAGAGCCAAAAGCCCCTGAGCTCCCCTGAGATAATTCACGTCCATCCCCACCTCCTCAGCAGCTGGGATACAACAAGCCTGTGGAAGCAGGAACTACAACAGGGGCTTTCCTCAGTCTATCCTCCAGTGCCAGGAGGCTGGAACAACCTCATCGCACAGCTCCCTGCTGAGGGGAGTAGCGCTACACTAACTGAATAGGGGAGGAGGGTGCAAGGCAACAACGACGTTTTGCACGTCAGCTCATCTGGCTTCAACAGCTTCTCCTTGTCTTCCTCGTCTTTTCCAAGGTTTGCAATGCCAAAAGGCCTTCTGGCATCTCTGGGACACTATCCCCACACATTAAATCAGATAACATAAGGAGTTCATCTAACACATTCCTTGTTTTGTGCCACCAGCACGAAACACACCGAATTAAGCACCGAAAAAGCCACAGGCAATTTTAAGATTAAACTGGCTTCCTGCTCTTCAGCTATCAAAGAAATGCAAGCTGTCCCACAAGACATAACCAAAAGACTGCATTTTGTGTGATACGGGGAATCCTAGAACAGGCTTCTGTGAAGAATCATTCCCGATGCAATTGCCAAGAGGAATGACGCTGATACAAGTAACCAGGATGCAGTGTCTATAAAGCCATGTACTGAGAACGCACCGTGGAAGATTTGCCCGTAATGAGCCTACGTTTTGGACTGTGACTCACACAGATACTTTGCAGCTTACATATGCCCAAACTGGGAGTGAGGTTTTTTTGCTTATCAACCGTTCAAGGATGGAACCGTGTTAAAAGGCTGGCTGGGGAAGAAATCCAGCATCTTCCCGAAGCTCGTATGTGCTGCAGGCAAGAACTCCTTCCGCAGCTCTTGTTCAAACAAAAAGACACAACAACGACAAGACCAAGAGTGATTAAAAGCAAACACACGCGCGAGGACAGCTGTGCTGACTTCGTTGCTGGAGCCTTACTTGTTTTTGTAAACCCAAACGCCAAGTTTGTCCTTTGATGAAGGGGGTACCCCCTGACACTCTACTCTGACCCACTGCAGCACTTTGTCCGTGGATCTGGAATTTAACATGTAGAACTGTAGAAAATAAAAAGATTTTTTTTACCCACACAGTTAGCTTAAAGCTTAAGTCTGACTGATGTTAAAATATTAACTTTGAATTAGCATGTATTTGTATAGAAATACTTTAAAAGTTCTTTTCCCAGCTGCACAGAGCACTGACAATGCTTGGAACAAAACAGGGATCCCAAGATCCTTATCTTGTTGCAGACTCAAGCCCCAAACACTTTTTTACTAAAGTAACAGGACAATGGACATTGTGTTGCACCATCCGAAAGCTGAAATGGGATACAATGAAGGTGTCTACAGAGTAGCAGTTGTCTTACAATAAAAAAAAAAAAAAATCTGTTACGGTATCATCCCTTCTCTGCGTCTTACATCATTTTACATGGAGAGAAATAGCTGATACACATATATAAACTAACTGAAATATAAGAATACCACAGCAGGAAGGAATCAAGTCATACTTTGTAAATGTAGTTTGATTCAGACTGTTTGCAAGCATTGCATCAAGCTACTTTCAGTTTATATTTAAGAGCGAGGCCAAAAAAACCTGTTTAATTTAAACCACGCTTCCAGAACATCAGAAAATATTCTCAGAGACTCCAGAGAAGAATAACATTTCAAACGACTACAGTGCAGTTACAAATCACCTCCTCGTATTATTTCAGTGACCCCTGGAAATTCCCATCTTTCAAAAGAAGCAAACTCAAAAGCACCAATGCAATACAATTTATAGGGTGAATTGCTCAAGAACAACCGCAAGCAAAACAAGTAATAGGTCGTGGTGTTTCTTCAGTGGCGTAAAGCCAGCAGAGTACAGTCATCGTGTGAAATGATGCAGAGCTGAAGGCTGACCTGTTTTACAAATGTCACGTTATCCGACCTGTGGCAGAGAAATTAATACACTGAACTGGTAAAAGTCAGCCAGCTAATCACCTGCATGGAAAAAAAACCCCAAGCGGTAGGCGCCGTATTTTGTTAGTCAAAACCTCTTGGGCAAGCACAAAAAGAACACGGCTTCAGCTAGTTGACATCTGGGGAAGCTGCTGACGGGATGAAAAAGCTGGTTATCTGCCTCCAAGAACTAGAGACAGCCAGCAGATGAAAATATTATACTGCAGAAGCCATGGAGGACACAGTGACTGGGTACACGTCAGCATCCCCTGTTACTCACATTTAAGCTCTGCAACAAGATCCAACCTGTCCAGTCATTCGGAAGAAAATGCTTCCTCGATTTGTTAAGATTATACATTTCTTGCTTCGGATGGATTTTAATTAACTGAAAAGGCTACCTCCAGTTCATAAAAAAATGGGGACAAAAGCTAATGAGGAGAAACTTATTTGTGAGGAGGGGTCTACCTTTAAATGACTAACCTTGTTTGTATTGCCACGTGCATGATGGCCTCCAAATAGGTACACCACTCTGTCTACACACACGGCACAACTTCCAGACATGGAAGGCGGAACGTCTCCCTCTGTTTTACTCTTCTTCCTAGAAGCACAGTTTAAACTATTTTATCTGATAAAAACGAACAATAACAATTTTATCTGGAGTGGAATTTTATAACGCTAGCAGTATGTTTTTAATTACGACAGGTCATTGTGGACCATTCAGTTAGGAGTTCTTCGCACCCTTGCAGGTCTAACACTTTACCACACTAACCTGGCATGAGGGAGGCGGGTGGGGAAAAGGCAATTTAATTAATACATGTTTTGTGGGGGAGCAATCCCGTCTGCCCAGTTCAGGAGTTTGGTATGCCTTTCCTGTTCAAAATCCCAGAAAGATCCTCAGGCAAAGATGATGCACCTGTCTAAACTGAAGGTTTCTATTTTGCTACTGGATTTTTAATGTTTGTAACCATTACAACCACAAAGGTAAGCTTCCAGCCCATGTCCAAGGCTCTCCCTAACCCCAGGGGGGGCTGGAAGCACGGCTGAAATGGCACTTTCTGCAAAGCGCTGAGGGGACTTGGCTTCGCAGCGCAAGGCCCTAGCTAGCTACTGACTTGGAGCGCTGGATTCCCTTCTCTCCCACTACTCTGCACGCAGGTTTCCCACAACTTCCAGGCTCCCAATGAGCTAAGATGACACAGTAGTTTCTTTGGCTGCATCAACGTTTAAAAACAACTTCTTAAAAGGCCAACAAATAAAAAACTCAGTAGGGGTTCCCTCCCCAACGTTTCACTGTAATCAAAAGTGGTACAAATACAATTTTCAGGTGCTATATCCTATACCAGGCATCCCAAAACACTTCACACTGTTGATCACGTACTCCTGTTCAAGCTGCCTTTCCTACTTCACCTTGTGAAAACATATCTGTTGTTTTCACAGAAAAAAAAATATTTGGAAATATTTTACATGTTTATGCAACAGTTTGATAGGTGGGAACAAACAGATCAGGGAATTCTCTCTCTGTTCAGAGACCCTTAGCATGCTTTCTGTACCAATTTAAGAATTTATCTTTTTTTTTCCCCCAAAAAACAACAATTAAGTTAATTATTTACTGTACCATCTTCCAGTTTCCATGTTGTAGATCCATATTTCATCTCTAGGCAGATAGAAGTCATAAAATCCCCTCACTTGGGCATTCTGCAGAACAGGTCAGAAAAGAAAAAGGAATGTCAGAAGGATGCTCGACATACTGACTTACAGACTCCTGCGAATGTTTACACCTGCCCAGAGATCTAATCACGGAACAGAAAACAGCCGGAGCGGTGCCTGCTGCACTCCTGCACCCCTCACCTGCACGGCAGCCCTCGAGAGCAGGTATTGGCCCATTTTAGCTTCTGCTGGGGACCAGACAAGCTCCCAGCAGAGCCAGACACTGGGGTAAATGGAAATTAAACCTTTTCCTAGCCCAAGCAGGACATCCAGGGTGCATAAATGAGCCAAAATTTCCTTTTTAGTTCCCCCACCCCTTGCATGACACCACCAGAATGATACACCAAAGCTTTGCCTTGCGCTACCAATTTATTTACTGAGTTCATTGACAATTCATCTTCATTCCAGTCAAAATCTTAAAACGACTTGGTTCTGCTTGCAGTACACACGCACCCCAGTGTGACACATAACCAACCCGCAACCATTAACACGCAATATACAGTTGTGCTGATAATGCTGTAAATAAAAGCACCATTTCGCACGGCGTGCGTTTCAAATCAGACAGTATTTCCTTCTCTTCCAACAGACACGTGAGTTGACAAAGGCAAACAATACCCTGCATCCCAGAAAAGTTATCTGTTTGCCAAGATCTGCATTTAACACTCACGATTCATTTCAGTATTTCAAAACTCTTAAATGTCATATTCTAATTTGATAACTGGAGCTTTTCTTTTCTGGGGGAGGGATAATTTTACAGAGTCACTCCCAAACTAATGGGACGTAATTACCAGCACCACGGGTGGCAGAAAGCTTACTTAACAAGGAGAACAGCGTACCTTATAGCCTCCCCAGACGTACATGCAGCGTCCATCGGTGACTGCCACGTGCCCGCTGCGCTCAGCAGGGCTATCGTTCTCCAGCTGCTCAAAGCTGTCCTCAGCTGGAGCTGGGAGCTCTTCATCTGCCTGCAGGTCTTCGTTATCATCGGCCATTTCGATACAGCGCTACGTGCACAGAATAACACACAGTACGGAGCGTTGAAAACCAGCAGGGGAAACCACCAGAGGAAAAAAAAAGAGTACTACACACTGTTCTTTCTTTCACATTGATGTTTCAGTGGAAGAAGTTATCCCATCAGTAAAGAAAGTTTCAGATGGGGATTCCTCAGTTGTGTGTAATTTCTAATCGTTTCAGTTGCCAATTTAAGCCAAGGTCTCTATCTTTTTTTTAAAAAAATCACACTTATCTATAAATACATGAACCGATGACCAAAAAAACAACCCACAACGGAATAAATTTGAAAGCTTTGCCTACAGCATGGTTTTCACAAAAGTGAAACCCCCTGCAGCTTTTCAGGCAAAGTCCCTTTGGGCTGCCTAAGCCAAGTCTCCCGCACACAAACCCTCCCACAGCTCTTAAATGCAGGACACATTACCTACACTAAAAAAAAAGAAACACAAAACAAAGCCCCTTGCTGGCAATGCTGGCATGCAGAAGGCCAAAACCCTGGAAAAGACAACAGCTACGCGCACCCAGCCTACGGCTCCCGAGCACTGCGCAGCTCAGGGGCAAGAGCAGCCTCCGCGCCAGGGCTCTGGCACGCAGGAGCCCCAGGGCCACGCTGCCGCTGGGGTCACCGGCAATTCAAAGCCCCAGCCGCGGGAGGAATCAAGCCGGGAGGAGACGCTGAAGTCAGCCCTGCCAGGTCATCCGGGAAGCTGCCTGCAGGCTCTGCCGCGGCCCGTAATGGAGCACGGGGACCCCGAAAAGCCAAAGCCGCCTTCCACTTAGGAGCCACTCCCAAGTCCCCTTCTGCTTTAGCTTTCCTACAGCTATGACTCAAAACTGTCACCACAGAAAGACCTTCCAGGCACAGATCAAAAGGTCAGGGAAGCTGGACAGTCCAAGCAATGGTTTTGTGCAACCGGGCAAAGCGGGAGAAGTGAAAAGGACCGTAACGAGACAACCAGACCCTGCACTCACACAAAATCCTCGACACCTACACCGCTCCTGGCAGATTTTCGTTTAATTTGCATGGCTCCAACGATGGAGACACTACACCACCTTCGGTAGTTTATTTTTGAGCTCTAATTATGCTTTAAATTAGAAAGCTTTACTCACGCCTCAATGAAATCTGTCTGCTTCAAGGTAACCAGATTTTTACTGACCTCTCCCCAGCGACCAGCGTTCTTTATTTTGTTTTTAACAACTTCAGACACACTGGACAACTTCTGTCCCCCTTCGGCAATTTTTTAGTCCCGTAGTGAGACGCTTCTCACGACTCGCTGCAATTCCCCATTCCCTATGGCTCTGCCTCGCCTGTCCGCACCCCTCACGACACCGCGACCGGCCAGACGCGGTCTCCTCCTGCGCTGAGGCAGGCCCGATAGATTTCATCTGTCGGGACATAGCCGTACCACACGACCCAACCCGAGCAGCAGCCGCACTGCGCTGAGCAACGCGCCCTCACCGCGCTCACCAGGCCCTGTAACAACCCCCGGCCCTTCCCGCTTTCTGTCACGGTTCGCGCCCTCACCGCCCGCTCCGGCGTCTCCCCCCGCCCAGACCCGCGCTCCCGAGCCCCTCCGGCGCCCTGCCCAGCCGCCTCCCCTCCCCACCCCCCCGGGGC